GCATTGCTACAATAGCCATTGCATTGCCAGAGTGGGTGAGAGGATTGGCCGACCATTGTGGGTGGACTTGAACACACTCTCGGATCGGATGGACACTAATGCCAAAGTGGAAAAGGGAAGGTATGCAAGGTTGTGTGTTAAACTTGATCTGCAAAAACAACTTGTGCCCAGACTAACCGTGGCCAACGAAGCTTTTAATGTGGAATATGAAGGTCTCAATCTTATATGCTTTGAATGTGTTCGATATGGCCACCGGAGGGAAGCCTACCCATGGAAAAAAACTACTCAACAGAACTATGCAAGCACTAGTACAGCTGCTCCAACACACCACCCACCGAAGATGCGACCGGAGACGCAAACGGTAAACTCAGGACCAATGGATAATGACACCTTCGGTCCATGGATGTTTACCACTGGATCCTCCAAATCTCGGTTTTCAAGGAACAAATTCCAACAGGAAGTACAAAGTGAGCCTAAACAGGGAGCAAAAGGTGTCAGGAGAGTCGATATACCTGTGGCTAAATCGCGATTTGCAGCGCTGGCTGCGTTGGACAAGGAAAGAATAGATGATAGGGAGTTGAGAAATAGCGTAGAAGTAGTAAGTAGTCAGATTGAGAAGGAGCAGATACTGGTGGACTCAGGGAAAAAGAAATAAGTGACAACTTCTTATACAAAGATGACGGTAGGCACGAAAAATGGAGGGAGCTCCAAAGTACTAAGCAAGCCCAAGTTTCAACAAAAGGCCCTGGGCAAAATACCTGAAAAGCCCAAAGTTAATCCAACAATTGAGGTAGCAAAGCAAGTTATTTCTCAGGAAGCTGAAACCCGACAGGAATGGGCCTTAGTGGGTCATAATACAAAAGATAGATCCAAGAACCCAAGACAACGAACTCATGTGGTGGTCAGTGGACAAATGGAATGTAGAAGCAAGCCCACTAGTGCAACGTCATTGGGTAATCCCATAAAAACCACCGAAAATAAACAAAGACTAGTAGTGCATCAGTCAAAACAAAATTTTATTACAAATGGACAAGGATTAGATAACCTACGCCTGAAAATGATAGTCCATGATGACCCTGAACCACCAGATCTCGAAGCGAAGAAATGGGAGAGTGATATGGAAAGCATGGAAGATGCAGTCGCAGACTTGGCTGATGAGAGGTCCGAAGAGTTAGAAGTGGTTCCAAACACGGCAAAAGATAGGTAACTATCTTATAGGTACTCTCCTGTTGATTTCGGTTAATATGAATATTGCCTGCTGGAATTGTAGGGGGGCTGGAAGCCGGCCCTTCCCTCTTATTATCAAGGATATTGCTCACAAAAATCAGATTGGGATTTTTTGTCTTATTGAGCCACGTATCAGTGGAGACAAAGCCGACAGAGTAGTTCGACAACTTGGGTTTAACAATTGGATCTGGGTTGAGGCCTCGGGCTATTCAGGGGGAATCTGGGTACTTTGGAACGAGTGGGATTTCGAGGTGAAGCTGATTGCCTCTAGTGAACAATTCATACATTGTCAGATTACTAGAATTGGTACTTCCTCTCATTTCTTCTCCACTTTTGTTTATGGTGAAACCTGCTACACCAGGAGAACTGCGTTAAGGCAAGCCATTCAAGCCATCGCAGAATTCACTGAGGATCCTTGGATCTTATTGGGAGACTTTAATGCCTATCGTTCATCGGTAGACAAGATAGGTAGTGTTAACCATCATATGATCTCTATGGCAAATTTCAATGACTGTATCAGCGATGCGGGACTACTAGAAATACAAGACCCCATATCCAAATACACATGGGAAAGAAACAGAGTGCAAGAGAAAATTGACTGGGTCTTCTGTAACTTGGCATGGGAGATAGCCAATCCAGAAAGCTGTGTCACACACGATCTAAAATACAAGTCTGATCACAAATTGATCGTGATGTCTTGGAGCAATAATTCGAGGCAAGTAAAGGTGAGACGAAGATTCCACTATCAAGCTGGGTGGTGCCTGGAAGAGGGGTTTAACTCTATAGTGGAAAGGGTGTGGACTGAGACAGATTGGTGCACAGGAGTTGATCAATTCCAGACGCTAGCTACAAAATGGAATAATGATTATATTGGGAGCATCCCAAAGCGAAAGAAACAGTTATTAATGAGATTGGAGGGCATTGAGCATACTAAAAGAACCCAAGTCAACAACGGTTTAGCTCGTGTAGAAAGGAAAATATGGGAAGAGTATAATAAACTGGTACTCCAGGAAGAGCTCATTTGGTACCAAAAGTCAAGATGTCAGTGGATGTAGTGGGGAGATAAAAATACTGAATATTTCCACGCATCTACGGTAATCAAGAGGAAAAAACAGAGAATTCTAGCTCTCCAAGATGAGAATGGAGTTTGGGTAAGCAACACGTGTCAGATGCACGAAATGGCTACTCAGTTCTACAAGAGGCTATATACAAAGGATAATGCTGTCTATGCTTCCACCTCCTGGCCGAATAGATTTCAACCTCTCTCAGCCATGGATCTACAAATGCTACATAGCAAAATTGATGATACAGAGATAAAAAATGCTGCCTTTTCTATTGGTGCCTTTAAAGCACCGGGACCAAATGGACTCCAGGCACACTTTTTTCACACTCAATGGGAGAAGGTGGGGGGAGTGGTTTGCAAGCTAATTAAAGAAGCTTTCTTAGACCCGAACTCTATCAGGAAAATCAACCAAACTAATGTGGTCCTGATCCCAAAAGTTGACCAACCGACATCTATTAAGGATCTGCAACCTATTTCACTGTGTAATGTAAGCTACAAAATCATCACAAAGTTGATTGCTAGCAGATTCCAAAGAGTTATGAGTCATTTGGTGAGTACAGAACAATGTAGTTTCATTGCCAATAGATCCAGCTATGACAATATTATTATAGCCTAGGAGGCTATACATATGATGAGTAGAAAGGGTGGAAGGAAAAAATATGTTGCAGTTAAAGTGGACATGGAGAAGGCTTATGATAGGCTTGATTAGAGCTTTTTGGAAAGTACCCTACAATGCATTGGATTGGAAAAAGGCTTATTAGATGTGATTATGGCTTGCGTGAGTACTGTGGAGATGAGAATCCTGTGGAATGGAAAAGAAGGCAACACCTTTACTCCTTCAAGAGGTGTGAGACAAGGAGATCCGCTTAGTTCATATCTCTTTGTGCTATGTATGGAGCGCTAGGGCCAGCGTATCAAGACAGAATGTGAACAAAAAAGGTGGAAATCGCTGAAGATTGGAAATGATGTTTGCATCTCCCATTTGTTCTTTGCAAACGATCTCATCTTGTTTACGAAAGCCAGTACAGCCCAAATGGGGGTTATTAAAAAGGTCATAGGTGAGTTTTGCAATGAATCAGGCCATAGAATTAATTTGTAAAAACCTAAAGCTTTCTTCTCAAAAGGGATCAACTTTAACAGGGCCTCATAGTTATGTCAGAAACTGGGTGTTGGCATCACACCTGATTTGGGGAAGTATTAGGGTGTCCCTTTATTCCACAATAAAGTGACAAAGGAGACGTTTGGACATATTATTAGGAAAGTGAGATCACGGCTGTCCACTTGGAAAGGGAAATACCTAAGCATGGCAGGGAGACTAGTGCTGATAAAAGCAGTTATCTCAGCCCTTCCATCCTACCAAATGTAGTCAACCAAGATCCCAAGTGGTGTTTTAAAGGAGATTGAAAAGGTGAGTAGACACTTTCTGTGGTGTCAAAACGAAGCTTCTAAGAAAATACACCTTATAGCGTGGCACAAAATCTTGAAAAGCAAAAAACCAGGGGTCTGGGCATAAAGAATTTGGAAAACCAAAATAAGGCTTTTGTAATGAAGCTCTATTGGGGTTTGATAACGAGACCGGAGGCACTGTGGGTTAAGTGTTTAAGATCCAAGTATGAATGCGGATCTCAGATGATTCCTGAAATTACTAGACCAAAAACATACTCCCCATTATGGAAGGCTATTTCTAATAGTTGGAGTGAATTTATGCAAGGAGTGGGAAGAAAAGTAAATAATGGTCAAACCACTCGCTTTTGGAGCGACAGGTGGACGCCCTTAGAAGTCCCTCTCATTGATTGTGTTACTCAGAACTTGATAGATGTCGACATGGAAGATATGGTGGCAAATTTTGTTCTGCCAGAAGGGAGATGGAATATAAATCACTGGAAACACTTCCTGCCAATTTGGTCATTGAGATAATTAGAAGAGTTAGACCACCTGTGAAAGCAAAGGAAGATACGGTTTATTGGAGACATGGAGGGGATAAAAGGTTTACAGTCAAGTCTGCCTACAACTGGTTATCCTGTCCAGAAGGGCCAAGTATAAATTCTGTTTGGCAAAAAATATGGCGGTGGCCTGTGCCTGAGAAAATCAAACTTTTCATGTGGCAAGTTGGCCATGAGAGAGTCATCACAAATTCCCTAAGAGCTAAGAGAGGTCTTACTGATAGCAGAACATGCCCTCTGGGCTGTCATTGTGAGGAGAGTGTCATTCATGCTCTGAGAGATTGTGAGAAAGCCAAAACAATGTGGAAACAACTTATTTCTCCTAACGCATATTTTGCTTTTTTCTCGGTGACTTACAGGTATGGCTTAATAGGAATTCAAGGAGTGATCCTGTGAGGAAAAAGATGGAAAGATGGCCATGGAACAATGTTTTTGCCCACACATGTTGGTTGATCTAGAAAGCAAGATGTACTCAACTATTTGAAGGGAAAGGGAGATCCCCAAACGAGGTTGTCCAGCAACTTTTATTCCACCTCATGGAACAGACAGCTAACGGGATATATAAGCACAAGATATTTACAGAACACAATTCTAACCAAGCTTATTAGCGGCCCCCAACAGCAGGAAACTTCAGAATTGACGTTGACGCCTCTGTTAGAAGTCAAAACCATGCAGCTTGTGGAGGCATAATTAGGAACTCGGAAGGAAACTGGGTGTTTGGGTTTCAAAAAAACTTAGGTATCTACCCAATAGCAGCAGCGAAAATTATGGCAATTAAGACTGGTTTGCAAGTCTACCAGAAACTCGGAATTAATGATATTCTGTTATACTCAGATTCTCTAGATGCTCTAAACTATCTAATGAGGGGTAGTGGTGTGGATCACCCCTACAGAGAAGATATTGAGGAAACTAGACAGCTAATATATGAACACTGGAACCTGGAGATTAATTATGGATGTAGAGAAACACTGCAATGCGCTGATTTTCTAGCAAGGATAGCCCATAATGTGACGGACGAACTTATTTTGTTAAACGAAGTGCCTGAAAGTTGTAAAGCTCGCATCCTAGTGGATAAGCATGGAATGAGGGAGGGTGTACCCTCCATGAGTTAGGTTGCTTCTTCTTTTATTTCAAGCCTCGGCTTGCCCTTTTGTAAGAAACAAAAAAAAAAAAGGGATCCAAAGAAAAGAAAAAATTACCAACAACAGTAGATCCATATGACAAGTGAGCAGTTGTTATTTATTATCTTAGAACTTGTCACTATAAGTTGCTTTGTTGTCATTGGGACATTTTATGTTCCTAACTTAGGACTTCATAGTAATTCTTCATTTTAAAAACTAAAGCAAAAGAGATCCATTTGTCAACTAGGATTGAGTTTAGTGGAAGGAGCTAGTCCTTCACAATGTGGTAAATTAATGTTCAAATTTTTTATAGAAGAGGTGCTCATATTTAGTTCCTAACAGTACTTCAAAATTGCTTACAATAAAAGGATATTTGTGCATATCCCAAAAAAAAAAGCAAGAGATTCGTTTAAAATACTTTAACAAAACCAATGAAAATTAGGTTTAGCAGAAAATATTAGTCAATTACAATGTGGCGAACTAAGGTTCAAATTTCTGTTGAAAAAGGTATCCACATTCAATACTTGACAGTACTTCAAATAGGATTGTTTCTAACAGGAAGATAATTATGCCCAGCTAAAAAATACTTTAATATAGTTGGTCCATACAACAAAGTATGAAGTCAAATATGAAGTTTTTTTTTTTTGGCCAATGACAAGCTGCCCATTGGTAATGTTACTCACCATGTTTAAATAAGTTATTATTTGTCATGTTTGGATAAGATCTTGAACTTGAACTCCTGTTTAATATACTTGTGTATGAGGGTGCCTAAATTGATCGTATTTGAAAAATATATGAAGATTTTTTATGGTTATATTATCGGCATTTGAACATTAAAATATGTCTCCCAGTGTTTCGAAAATCATATGAGTATCAACAAAAGTTTGGTCCACGCAAACAAGTTCCAGAATCTCCATCGTTATCAACCTCAGCTTCTCCAACAAACAAAGTTTTGAGCAAATTCCAGGACTTTATAAAAGGCTTGTCGTGCATCTATAAAACTAAAATACCCGTCACTCTATTCATTTATTATTCAATCATCTTTGGATTTATAAATAGAACAACAAAGTTGCACGTTGCAGATATTTCTTTTTTTTCTTTTTAAGTTTATGCATTGAAAATGAAATTTGAACTTAAGATATTTTCTAAACTAGGCACACATCCTTTTATTTCATCACTTGATCATATTTAGTGAGCTTATTTATTTTTGAATGAGTTGTTTACACAAAGTTTTTATATATTCTATGTAAAATGAAGCTTCAGACGAAAATTGCATATAAAGTCCACTCAGTTGGTTTTGCAATCCCTATAGCCATCTTCTCTTTTTGGTTGAATCACTTTTAGTTTATGCTCTTGTTTAGAGTATTTATTTATTTTTAAACTTTTACTCAAAACTTCTCAGAAACAAACAGAAGTCGAAATAAAATTTTTCTATTATACTTACCTTGTAAAATTACATTTAAAAAAGTTAACTCAAACATCATATTCATTTCTTTTTGGGTGTACCTGAATATTAAAAAAAAAATTGATGTACTTCAGGTATATTTTAAGTTTAAATTTAACTTATTTTATGAGCTAATAATTGCTGGTGGATAAATTTAAACATCTATGTGTTTTCTCTTATTTGAAAATAGAAAATGCAAAAATATCTAATGCTGATAGAAAATGACTTTAGGGGCTCTTTGGAGAAGTCAAGTTTGAGACCGAGGAGGCTACTCTCTTACGCCAGTTACTCGGCTTCTGGTATAATGAAATTGTGCTCCCACGTTTCCTATGGAATTATTTGAGATAAGTTATGTGGCCAAAAAAAAATTGTACTCTCTTATTAGTCAAAACTATAATTTGATAAAATATTTAATATGTATAACTACTACAAGGACTATCTCAAAAAAAAGAGAGATAAAGTGGATTGAAATCTTATATTTATATCAAATTAAATGTCAAACTAACTCTTATATTAAAGATCGAAAGTAAAATTATTCTTAATTCTGATAAAACATATTAAAAATAATTTATAAATATTGAGGAATATCAAATTCTTTGCATTGGATCCACTGAAATGCGCAACAACAATGAATAGCTTGTAAATTTGGAAAACAAAGAGGAAAAGAAGATGTTGTGAGGATGAGTAATTAATGTGAGGGGGAAGCAGCAACAATGAGAACAAAAAATGGGTCTACCAAACCCCTAACAAAACGGCATTGCATTCACTTCCCACGCTCTCCAACTAAAATATCCAAACTTCAAAGGAACGCACCTCCCCCACTCCGTATGCTTGCTGTGATCCATATTATAAGGTATTCCCTCTGATTTTATATACTACCTCCAGTCCTAATTATAAAAGCTAGTTGACTAATTTAAAAAAATTAAAATAAGAAGTTAAGTTAGTTATTTGTAATAAATAGGTGTTGTCTTTTCTAAAATATTCTTGCTAATCAAGTGTATTGGTTAAAATTACTATTATTAGAAGAGCTACCTTAGGAAGAAATGATAAATATGAGAGACAAAGTGAATTGAGATTTTATATTTAGGACCAAAATAAAAATCAAACAAAGTTTTATATTAAGAACCGGAACTAGTATAAGCTTTATTTTTGAAGAGGAGTCTGATCCAAAATATAAATTTTATTTTTTAGTTTGTTGAGCATTTATTGTTTTTGGAAAGAAGAGTACCTTTAATAATCTTATTAAAACTAAGAAAAGTTCTTCTTGGTGCCAATAAATAGTAAGAAAATATGGTTAAGCCACTATTTTTGGCCAATAAAATAATAAGTTTAAAAGATATAATCGGTGATATTTTTGTAAATATTAGTAAACTTTCCAGATCGATTACTCATATATATGTGTGTGTATAAAGTCTAAAAAATACTTTTTAGACCAATGGTTCTTGACCCAATTTCGATTTAGAAGGTGGTTAAAAATAATATTTAAAATATATTCTAGACTCGTTCTGGAACATAAGGTCTAAAATAGTAAAATACTATAATTTAAAAATGTAATACTATCTCTAGTCTATAGTTTAAATTGAACTACAAACTAGATTTTGTATTGAGAATTAAGGGAGTAATTAATAGTTTTTGTAAATGTTAGTAAACTTTCTAGGTCGATTACTGTGTGTGTGTGTGTAAGGTCTAAAAAATGCTTTTTAGACCAATGGTTCTTGACCCAATTCCAATTTAGAAGTAGGTTAAAAATACTCCCTTTAATTTAAAATATAAGCTAAATTTTGTTGGAGTGGTTTAATTTTTTTTATAAGATGACATTTACTTTTATCTAAATATTTAACGAGTTTTTTTTCTTTCAATTTTATCCCTATATATTCTCTTTCCTTTTTGATTCATTTATTGCATCTTTTACTTACTCTCTTTATTAATAACGGTGTATTTGGGGAGAAAAACATGTCTTACATATTCATTGTTTTAAACTGATTTTAACTAGTTTCTTGACAAACGTAAATGGATAAAATTTAGTTTATATTTTGAACTAGAAGGAGTAATATTTAAAATATATTTTGGACTCGTTCTGCAACATAAGGTCTAAAATAGTAAAATACCATAATTTAAAAAAGTAATACTTTCTCTAGTTTATAGTTTAAATTGAACTATAAAATCTTGTAGTAAGAATTGAGGTAGTAATTAACAGTTTTTAGATAGATTATTTGGTCTAACAGGTCTAGAAAGTGCTTGAAGCTTAATTAGGAATACTAGCGTATTCTCTTCTCCTTCAAACCCATAGCCGGCCATTGCCACATCTCGTCTCGCCATTTTCTTTCTGTCAAACTTTTCCCTCTATTTTTGTTCCCAACAACCATTTTCCTTTCCATATGCTTGGTTTCTTCTCCTCTGTATCTTCCTTTAAGTTCACATTCTTCTCTAGCAGCTTTAATCTGTTTGTCAACCTTAAGTTCGTTCATTAAGAAGCTTCATGTCGCCCTCTAATATGACTTTTTAGACCTCACCTTTGAAACCCATCTGGAAAATACTTTTCTAGACTGGTTGTTCCTGCCAAACTTTCAAAACCAACCTTAGGTAGACCTGTTCTAGAACCAATCAAAGGAGTTATTTTTTAACCTGTCGAAAAAACGATTTTTGCACTAATGGAAATGGTGATTAATGAGATTTTTAAATAGGAGCAATCACGAAAAATATAATTAAATATTCCCCACTTGATAACTTATAATTTAAAAAAAAAGCATCTATTTTTCCAAAAAGAAAAGTGTCTCATACCGAAGAATTCAAATTTGTTGCTTCCTTTATCTATCAAAACTTTGAGATCAACTTAATTTTCAAGGTTTTTTATTTTGTTAAGAGTTTAACTTAAAAACAGAAGTTCGTCCCTTTAATTAATTAACTAAGTTTGAGTGTGTGTGTGAACATTAAATATACTTCCTCCATCTCTTATTATAAGATCCTTTTAACTAACTTAAGCGGTTTAAGAAAAGAGTTAAAATTAGTTAAAATCAATTAATATATAGCAAATGCAATTTGTTTTCCAAGTATATCTTTATATATAAATGGGTAAATATGATAGAGTAATAGTAAGATAAATAAAAAAAGAGAATATATTAAATACATTAAATTAGAAATAAAATAGGTAATAATCCATTAAATGCTCAGATAAATTCAAAAAGAATCTTATAAAAAGAGACAAACCCATTCAAAATATTGAATCTTATAATAAGGAACGGAGTAATATACTACTATTGCTTCTAGTGTTGATACAAGAACTATTTAGGAGTTAAATTTGATCATAAATATAACATCTTAATTCATTTTGTCTCTCAAATTTATTATGTCATCTCTAAAATATTTTTATTGATTGTAAGGGATTTTAATAAGAAATAGTTCCAATACACATGACTAAAAAAGTTAGTCTACAGAAGTCAACATACATTTATTACAATTAATCAACTTAACTAATTTTTTTAAAATTACTTAGTTAGCTCTCATATTAAATACAAGAGGTAGTGCTTCCAATTAAAAATGTAATACT